GCACCTTAAAGCAGGGGTGGAGACAGAAGAACCATGGGCCAWAGAATTCCGATCACACCAAATTGCCCAATAGGTAAAAGCAGCAAGATCTCTCTGCTGTGGATTTAGTTTATCATAAAGAAGCAGCCAAATGTCCATAAAACTGAGATTTCCATTTATTGGAGAAGTGAAGAGAGATGGGAACATCAGATTCCAGATTTTCTTAGCCCTTTTGCAGAGGAMGATAGMGTGAGAAGTACYTTCCATCTTAGCACAAAATATACAATCAGGTACCACAWCAATTCCACGATTTCTAAGATTTTGGGTTGTTGGGATGTGATTATGACCTGCYTTCCATAGGAATAGCTTAATYTTAGAAGGAACCTTTAGCTCCCAAAAAGTCTTCCAATTATATCCCCTAGAGCCTGCACTTGTAGATACACCATTGCACTTCTGATGTATATAGAGTTTTATAACCACTTTTAACACTGTAGTGTCCTCTCTTGTCAAAATGCCAAATCCAAGAGTCAACAGAAACGTATAGACTAACGGGCATCGATAGAATGAGATCTCTGTCTTCCTCACAAAAAATGTTAGAGATTAGATAAGCGTCCCATTTTCCATTAGGATTGATAAGGTCTGCCACTTTAACATCATGAGGACCAAAAGGTGCTGTGATAGGACGAAAGGAATAGGGTCGCAGAATCCAGGGATCTGAGAAGATATTAATGGTCGAACCATTGCCAACTCTAGAACGCAACCCCTTGATTAGAAGGTCCAGCCCCCAAATGAAACCTTTCCAGAAATATGATTGATTTCGGAGGTGAGTCGCTTGGAGCACTGATGAGTCATGGAAATATTTTGCTTTTAGGACTCTGGAAACGAGGATATTTGGATTCTGAAGAACACGCCAGACCTGTTTGGCCACCAAAGCCTGATTAAAGCCTTCCAAATCTCTGAAGTTTAGGCCCCCTAACTCTTTAGGAAGGCACATTCTCTCCCAACTCATCCAGTGGAGCTTCTTTGTATCGTTCGAAGATCCCCACCAAAAACGAGCAAACATTTGAGAAACCTCTTCGCAGAAACCTTTTGGTAGTCTAAAAACGCTCATAGCATTAGTCGGAATTGTCTGACCAACACTTTTTAATAGAACCTCCTTTCCACCCACTGAGAAGAAGCTGAGTTTCCAACCTTGCATAACTTTCCAGATCTTATCTTTTAGAAAATTCCAATCCAGACCTTTGCTTCGAGAGAAATGAGAAGGGAGGCCAAGATATGGACCAAAAATTTGAAATCGAAATATGAATCATTTAAATAAAGAACAAATTTAATCAAGTAAAACAGTAATAGTAGAGGATAATCTTGAAATTAATGAAAATTTAAAATATGAGAATCCAAATATGTAAAACTTTGAAAATAAAATATGGTTTCTATAAAATGGCCCATTAAAGAAATTTTCTCAAAAATTATTTACCTAATCTTATGATTTTTTTTATTACCTAAGGCCAATAACTCAAACATATTCAAGTCACCCAAACTATCCCTCGAGACTATCTAACCTTATGATATTCTAATAACATTTATATCATTTCAATAGTCATTCTAGTCCACCCTTATCGAAAATAATAATAATAATAACTATTCTAATCCACACACTATTTTAAATTTATTTTAATAAGACACATTATTTTGAAATAGAGTCGCCAAGATAAAATATAAAAAGATAGCAGAAATGATTAACGTGTAATATTATTATTTTTTTAATAAAAAAACGTGTATTATTAGTTACTTAGCAGACCATGTAATTATTAAATTGTACGGTCAACAAATTTTTGATAAATTAAAAGGAAAAAATAAAATACCAAAAAACTATCAAACAAACAAAAAAAACTGATTGGACAACCATTTTCGTACGGACTTCAAACTTGTACTTGATTTTGACTTTTGGCAACTTCAGATCCGAATGTTTTTTATTTCAGAAGTGTATCTCGATGGATACGGTGTCGTGTCGCACAAAAAAAAAAAGGAATAGATATATTTCTTCTTTTAATAATCAAAACAAACTTTTTAAATTTGATTTAATTAAATAATATCAGCTTCTTGCATAAATATATTTTGTTTAAGAACATTCTCGTCTGCATAGTTTTACATAAATATATTTGTCAAGAAAATGATTAAGTCTCTTAGCGAAACTTGGATGGATTATATATCGACGAATAAAGAGACCTACAAAATAGAGTTAGCAGTTCGACGTTCTAGTAAGTACTTATTTGATTTATACTCGAGAGAGAATATAGTTTCGCGTACCTTGCGTGTGGTGGAAGATCTCTATTTATAGAGTTGGACTCCCAACAGGACTTTCGAGAGTGCTCCAATGGCTCTTCGACCACCCCTGATTCTCAGTGCCTTGTTTGAGATTATGTTTGGTGCTTTGCACTTGCAGGTACTTTTCAAGGTAGACTCGTCCTTTGAAAATGTCAACCAATGATCAGTAAAATATGGCTCGACTTTGGCAAGCCTTGCTGAGCTGTTTGAAATCGTCTAAATGATAAGATTCATTAGATTCTTTCATTTATTAGGGTGATTGATGATCTCCCATATTGACACGTCACAGGCGATAATTCGCCTCCAACAATATTATATATAATTCAGCACAAAGGGAAGAAATTTTTAATTTTCTTTTTTGTTTCTCTTTATTTTAGTTCATATGAATATAATAATGCTTAAATTATAAATTTAGATTTTTTTTAGACCGTTGCATACACAAATAAATCATTAACTTTTAAGACAGTTATAAGTGTCTTATAAACTCGAGAATATTCGAATTGACATTTAAATTTAGCTTCTAAAATTTGATACTTGTGTTTGTTTAATTAGTTTGTAAATTTTAAAAACTTTCAATTATGTTAATCAACTCAATTCTTTTGTAACCATCCTAACTTAGTTTTCTCCTCCAATCTCAATGACTCAATTTATTTTTTGTTATATAGATCGAAATAAAGGTTCATTATTGGAGGCTTTGTCGAGCTCACGAAAGTCTTTACTAGATGGTTTATTAATCATAGAAGAGACTTTGAACAAAGTGGATAGGTTCTTCAAACTCACTATTTGAGGACACATAAAAAACGTCTCTATGTCCACTTAAAAACAAGTTAAAAAAGTGTACATTCAAAACTTGGGGTTCTCAAAGAAAGTAAAACTACTCGAGAACAAGAAGAACAACAATGAAAGCAAATTTTTGTTTTCGAATAATTCAAACTTTGACTTGCTAACGAACCATCGTAACAAAAGACATCACTTAATGTTTCAAATCTCGAGCTGGTTGTAGAGTTGGAGTCTAATTAAAATGGCAATCGATTCTAGATGACTAGATAAGATTTAATTTACTAACTATTTATGTATCTTTTATTCTCTATTTTTTCCCTCCCTGTTTGAAACTAAAATACACTTTAAATATGTTAACATGAACGTAACTCAGTGATAATTAACATATATCTACGATGAATAGGTCATGAGTTCGAATCTCCCACTCCCACTTCTTGTACTTAAGAAAAAGAAAATAGTCTCTCAACTTCCTTACGAAATTCAAGAGCCAAAATAAAATATTTAAAAATTGTAGATTAAAAATATGATTTAAACTAAAGTTTTATCAACATGGCCTGGCTCATGAAACAGAGGCCAAGGGGCATTTGTATTAAAGTTATTCTATTTGATAATGCATGCTAAGAGGCATGAAGCCTACATTTTCATCATTTTTTTTAATGTGATTAATAAATTATTGGTTTCAAAGTATGACGACCCTTTTTTTTCCCTTATAAATAATGGCAATAATTCAAAATTATTGTTATTATTTTTTAAAATAAGATATTTTTCTTCTTTATTCGAGTGACAAGAGGCCAACCTAGTAAATTTATTTATTTATTTATTTTTAAATTTCTTATACTCAACAATGATTGCTACATTATTCTCATTTAATAACAATATTGAAAATATAACTTAAGTGAATGATGGCCGACTTATTAACATAATTATGATAAAATATTATAAAATAAGCTATAAAATGATTAGTTGCAAATATAGTTGGGACATGTAGGTGTTCGATTTTTATTTTTTAATATTTTTTGGGGGAAAATTCACGATTTTTATCGAAAATATGTGCTTTAATTAATTGAGTTATGATCAAATGGGTGGCGGCGGAGCCGTATACGTATTTGTATGTATGATCATTTTAATTTTGAGAATTTATGGAGGGGCAAAACTTTGAGATCGTAACACATTTATATTGTTTTCTGAACCTAAACAAAAAAACTTGAGTTTGTTGTTTCCAAAATATCTACACAATTTAGTTTTAAACGTTTCTTAAAAATATGAAACGAAAAACGAAAAACAAGAAGCGAGAACGTACCAAATGAACCCTTTAGTAACTATTTGATCATGAAAATGATCAAACTCGTATTCCATGAAGCTTGGATGAGATGTGTGAAGTCTAAAGTATCTGCAAAACAGAGCTAGCACTCTGATGAGCAAGGTAGTACTCAATCCGACCTATTACTCAAAGTGAGAATAGTATCTCGTACCTTTCGTGGGAGGCGGGGTCTCTACTTATAGAGATGAACTTCGATAGAGCTTCTGACGTTGCTCTAACGACTCTCTGACACTCTGACATCCTGAGAAATTATGCGGCGTGTTGTCGGGGAACATCCTCGTCGTCTTCGTGACTACCGGTGTTCTTCAAGGTCATCTTGTACCTAGAGTAGGTTGGTCGATAGGCGAAATGTAGATCGACTCGACCACCATGTATCGAGCTATCAAGATTTGGATCAATCCGAAAGTTATGGTTGAATCTCTACATTATTATTTCATATAAAGTCACTAGAAGGTGTTCACACGTGGCACTTATTTATAATTACTTTTATAGAAAATACATTTAGCGTTAAAAATTCTCTTATAAATATTCCACTCTTCCCATGACAATGAGCCACAAAGTCAACCATTGAGTGGTTGGGAATTGTTTGGCCTCTCTCTCTCTTTCTCTCTATTCACCAAGTTTTTAATATTGAAGGGAATAAGGCATAAGAGAAATATGAAGGGGAGTCTATACAATAGATTGAAGAACAACAACAGAGAGGATGGCCTGCAAATTAGTAGAAATGAGAAGGCCAAGAGATTATTGATCACAATAAGTGTTGTAGGAAGCACAGGGCCATTGAGATTTATAGCGAACGAAGACGATCTCGTGTGTGAAGTCATCCACGCCGCTCTCAAATCTTATGCTCGCCAAGCCCGACTTCCTCTTCTTGGCTTCGATGCTACCAACTTTCTTCTATACTGCAATAACGTCGAGAAGGCAGATGGCTGTACTTTTCTCTTTTCTCTCTTCTCCTATCATTTCTCAAAAAAATTCTTCGAATTTATCTAAGTTTATGAATGGTTCAAAGCTTGTTAAGTTTTCATCTATAATCCCTTCAATTCTTCTATTTTATTTATTTGATTTTTGAATTACTGTGTTGCCAACTTTGAGTATAATCCAACAGAAAATAAGAATTTCTAATTCTAAAACAATAAAATATAAAAACTTCTAAAAATTTGGAAATGTATGTATATAAATATTTTTTTTTACAACATGTGGGGTGAGGATCGAGAACTCACAACCTCTTAGTTGGAGATATATGTCAATTAGACTGAGCTATACTTGCTTTGACGAAAAGTATATATAAACTTAACGATAAATAATTTTCATTGATTTTGTGCAGGTTTGAACCCAATGGAACAAATTGGACCAAAGCAGGCAAGAAACTTTGTGTTGTGCAAAAAGCAAGGCACACCATTGCCATTGCATGATCAAAAGATGAAAAAGCTTATGGCAATAAAGGAAAGCCATGGATGGAAGGCTTGGATTAACAAGTCCTTAAGTTTTAAGATACCATCCCATTGAGATGTCTTAATACATTCGAAATCGATTCGTGGCTTTTATATGAATGGACAATTTACTTCGTTTTCATTTTGGATAAATGTATTGTAATGAACATACCGATTTTCTTTTCGATTGACTTAGACTACTTGAATCAGCATTATCATGGAAGTTGTCATACGTCTTTTAGAATTCTACCATTCAAATACATAAATGAATTCGAATCTACAATTCTAAGGGAGGTTATTGTTATTGAAACAATAATTTAATAATTATATCAACTTTTTATCAATATATTTTTTAATGGAAGGACTTAATTCAAATGTTTTATTCATTGGGGATAAAATTGGGATTCTTGAGACTAATTTGAGAATTATCTTAAAATTTTGAGCCTGAAAGTAATCTCCATTGACTTTTGGCACAACTTTACCCTTTTCCAATAGACTACTTTCTAGAGATTTTTAGGGTTTTCGTCGTATCATAACAATTCATGTTGTTGGATGTTGTTGTTGGATGGTGAATGAAGTTGTGATCCATCTTTTATTTTTTATTTTTTAATAATTCGAGATGGATGTCGTGTGACTTCACCAGTTGGACCTCTATAATCGAGAGGTGTCGATGGCCATCTAACACTATAACCAATGTTGCAGGACTCGTTCCAAATAGGTGGGGAAGCCCCAGCTACACGCCCGGTAGGCCTTGAATCAGGGAAAGAGTATCCTCATTTAGCCACAAATCCACTACACCATCATCTGCTAATGGTGCGATCCATCTTTTATTTATAGTCGATAAAAGAGGTGTTTTTGTAGAAAACTGTCCTTTTAGATATTAAACAGAATAAAACTAAACCAAGGAAAATAAATTTAGAAATTAATAGAAGCTTTCCTGCTAACCAATTTAGGGGTGTGTACGCAAGTATTTTCCATTGAAAAATACATCATTCTTTATTTCTTCTACCCGCGCCAATGGATTTGAGCTGATATATCTTTAGCAATGTTTTGAGCATCAAAATTAGCTCCATATAGTCCTCCTCTTGATAACCCTACACAATACAAGCCATTCTTTCCTTTCCAGTGATTAGGGTAGTTCGGTTTCGGTAGTCCATCCTCATTCAGAAGATAGTCATCCCCCTGCATTAGTATCAACATCGTTTTTTAGCTTTCTATTTCGAAATCCAAGAGTAGTTTTTTGTTTTGTCAAAGCGAACATAGTTCAGCGGTAGTTGTCATATACCTCCAATCAAGAGGTTGTGAGTTCGAATCAAATGTATTTTTATAAGTTAAAAATACCTCTAAAAGTCATGTCAAACTAACGTAGCATGATTTTACCGGTCCAAATCTTAAATATTGAGTATATTTTTTTGAAAAAATGAAAATGTAAATTTATGTCTTAAATTTTATTTTTATTTTCTTAGTTTACCTTCAGCCATAGATGTGTTGACCTTTTGAAGCCAGTGCAGAATATGATGGAGTCAAATGGGTAAGATTTGCCGTTTTTGAACAGTACATTATTGCCTTTTATGCTTGAGATTTCTGTCGGCAACACCTGCAAAATTAGAGGGATAGAAAGGCTATAGATTAATTCTATATAAAAATAGGCAACAAAAATAATAATAATGCCATAAACTAAGTGACATGAGTGAGAACTTACAAAAAGAGATGGTTTTAATTGGTATAACATCGAAGAATAAGGGCAAACATGAATTTAACTCAATTGATTAAGGGTATTTTTGAGATTGATGGTATAATTAGTGATTTTGAAAAAAGAGATTTAAATATAACTGATTTTTCAAAACAGCCCAAATGATACCTTAAAAATAAATTTAAAGTGATTTTAAACTTTCCTAAAATCAATTTCTTAATTTGCAAAATATGATGAATGGAAAGAGAAGTGATTTTCAAATGACAAAAAGATTTTGACCATGTCAAAATCATTCCCAAACACACCTAAGAGATACATTCGGTATCCCACTTTCATATGTTGTTAATTAAAATCCAATTTTATTTATTATTATTATTTTTTCTTTTTAACTTGAGATTCAATTTTCATATTTAAAAGCATGGAATACAATCATTAAATCGCTTATTTTCAGATCTGTGGATTTGCGTATTTTTCATATCACTAACCAAACGCACCATAAATATCATTGGTGTAAAACAACTCGGAAAAAAACATCTTGAAGACTCAACATTAAAAGCATCAATTTTAAAAAATATCCAATAATAGATTAGAGATATCCATTATTTCACAAAATTAAAAAGATTCGCTAGACACTTTTTAAAGTTCACATGTCCTACAAGGTTCAAAACATAAAAAACACGTTAGGCACATTTTAAAATCCCGAAAAAGTTTTGAGCCATAATTTTTTTGGCATGTATACCCTCAAACAATTTATGAGTGAAAAAAGTGTACCTGAATTTGTCGAGATTGAATTTTGTGAAAGGCTCCTCCTCCATCAATGACTGGATACTTGCCATACTTGAGTTTCATGGCCATCGGTCCTTCTGATGGTGTGGAGATTCCATATTTGGTGAGGTCTCCATACACTAATTTGCTCAACATCACCATCAATGAATCCACACACCCAACTGATAAATACTTCAACAAAACCAATGCCAATTGCACCATTCTTCTTGACATAAAATGAACCTGTTCATCATATTCCACAAAATTCAACATGTTTGGTGTGATATGATATATATGCCTTTTTTCCTTTTTTTTTTTATGATGATTTGATGTAAGGTTGTCGCTTTTTTCAACGAATTATATAAGTCGGTCGATAATTTTGAAATTGATACATTAGCTATAGTATGAAAGACGGGTTTGTGTGTTTAACTAAAAAAAATGATAAATATATCAAATGGTCTCTAATCGTTTAAATAGGGTCTTATTTGAAATAAAAAGAAACTTTACTCCAATCAAAATATATATGTAATATTTGTATTCTAAAAAACTAAAAAATCACCTCTTCTCATTTATTTAAATATAACATAAATATTACTCTTATTTAATTCATGGAGAAAATACTTTTAAAACGTGAATTTTGAATTTTATATTTTAAAAAGTATTTGATTGGATTATTTTACTTTTAAAAAGTCATCGATCTCTTGTTTTTTGCAAAATTTTAATATAAATTCAAAGGTAATATGTTAAGGCTGTCAATTTTATTTTAGTTTAGGCGTCATACCAACCAACGTTTGACTTTATTGGCATATGTTACGATCAAGAATTCGTAAAATGTTGAAATTGTAATAAATAAAATGAGATAAAAAAATAATACAGGAACAAAAAAAAACGAAATAATTTGAATTTTATATTGCGTGTTTGATTTGAATCTATGCTATTTTTTTACATTACCGGGCTTCGGACGAGCATCGAAGTAACGGCGCCATGATCAACAAGATCCGAACCAATTTCCATGGCCGAATTCCCGGCCCCAACCACCAGCACATTCTTCCCCTCAAATCCCTTCCCGGACTTAAACTCCGTCGAGTGCATCACATCGCCGCCGTACCCGGCCAATCCGTCCACCGCCGGCGAGTAGGGCTCCGTCGTCTCCCCCGTCGCCACCACTAGGAACCGCGCCGCGTACTCCTCGACGATCTCTCCGTTCGAAGCCCTAATCCTCCACTTGTCGGCGGCCGAATCGAACTCGGCGGCCTCCACATTTCGCCGAAACAGAGGGCGGATCCTGAACTTGGCGGCGTAATCGTCGAGATAGCGGAGGAAATCGGCCTTGGGGGCGTAATTGGGGGCGGCGGAGGGGAGCGGCGCGGCCGGGAGGTGGCAGAAGCGCTTGGGGAGGTGGAGGCGGAGGCGGTCGTAGGAGTATTTCCGCCAGAGCGCGGCGGAGCAGTCTTCTCTTTCGAGGATTAGGTGTGGAATTGAGGACATTGTTAGGCACGCCGCGGCGGCTAGCCCCGACGGCCCCGCCCCCACGATTATCACTGTAACTTCCGCCATGGCTTTTTCTTTTTCTTCTTCAATGCGGAGACGACGAAGATGAGGGCTCTTCAGCCTATTTGATGTATGAGAAAATACACTGCTTCCAATAACCTAAAAAATAAAAGTAAAAGCTATTGACACACTTACCAATAAAATAACTTGTCTTTGTTCGAGAAATTAGAAATATCAATAAATTTCAGTCCATCGTACGTGTAGTCACAACATTCTTAATCCTAATAAATGTGAAAGGATATTCCTCGATTAATATAAGGATCTTGTCAAATTATGGTATCCCTAATTAGAATTGGATGGGAAATAATTGACAAATACACCATTTTGATAACGTATTATTTTTTTAATTTATTTTTTATAACGATAATTTATATATATATAGTGATTTATTTTTAGGACATCTATTTTTAAGTTGGAAGCTCAAATATTTATCTCCGACGATACCGAGGAAAAAAAAGGAATTGAATTTTGCTATTTCATGTATGATTTAGTAGATAAGACACTTGTTAGATGTTACCATCCAACCAACGTTTTAAATGTCAATTAATAATGGTTGATGTGATCTCAACTTTAAGGAAATTAATATTATTCATGAAAATATTGATAAAATTAATATCGATGTTTTTTGAAAAATTATAACAATAAAAAAATTCATAAAGAATATTTAAATTAATACAAATGGGCATTTCAAACTTTTTAAATAAATTAAAAATTATTAATATTAACCTCATGTATACGTTAGTGATATTAATTAGGTAGAAATTTTGTATTTTGTCGATTTTTTGCGATACTATGAAAATGTCGATTTACTATTATTGTCCACGTCAAACACATGGACATATGAAAATGTGTGACATGTCAACGAAAATTCAATACCTAAGCTCTAAATGATCTCATTTTAACAGTTTTGATTTGGTTTTCAATAAGATCGTTTTAAAAAGTTGAATTTAGTAATTATGAGTTTGGGGCACCTTTTTTATATGGAAAGGTCATAGTTAGTAGTTTGTTTGTTTTTTCTTGGAAATTTATTTATTGTTTAAACGACTAACTATTTGAGCTATGTTATAATAAATGTGTCAGTTTGATTTACGTACTTTGAGTTTAGTAAGACTTTTTATCAATTTGACCTCCCTGGTAATTTGAGTTTTTTTTTTTTTTATTTACAGTTTTAAAAGCTTCCAATTTCATTTTTATAATCTAAAAATTTTAAATTTAGCGTTTGTTGACAAATGATCTCTAATATATATATTTTTTCTTAACACATTCTTTTGTATATATACACACTTAGCTTAATCCTAGACTTATGTGATTAAGCCTCATTTGTTTTTTAATATTATATATGTTAAACTTCCGACTCAAAAGGAGGTATGCTGTTACTATTCATTATTATTCATTTAGAATATTTTGTATAATTTAATTATGTTCCCTTTAATTTCAAATGATGTAGGAACTTCTGTAACGTTGGCTCGACTCAGTTTGATATCAACAACTGATCTGATACATCTTTGTAAGGAAAATCAATATGAATGTGGGTTGAGAGCCTTGGTAATGATGATGACAGTCACTTGCCTAAACAATTATAACTCACCAATTTAATAATAAACTAAAAAATGTATTAAATGTTGTTGATGATGATTTCCTGGTGAGGTCCATATAGGTGTAAAGCATGCCATATACATCTTTGTCTCCAAGGTTTTGATACCTGCGCACAAAAAATCTGACATCGACGTGGTGCTCTGCTGAATGCAATTTGATATTTAAGTTAGAACTCAAGTAGAGAGTAAACATGTTTGAAGCAGAAAGAGTTATAAGAAGGATAGTAACCTTGACGGTGAGAGTCTGCTTGAGAGTGTGAGTAAAATCCTCACAAGAACTTTGTAATGAAATTGAATTTTACCTCGATTAGGGTTGCTCTTTTTCTTATATATCACGAGAGAGAGGGGTCAAGGTTTTTCCTCAATAAGTTGTTGACAGGGGAATGAGCAGATCACCTTGGGGTTCATGGGGACCATCAACATCCTCGTCGCAGATAAGGAGGTGTGGTAATGTCCTGGGTGGTCCCGTAGTGCATCGCAGTTTCAGTTTGGATATGTGTTAGCATACTGCCTGCTGGATGTCCTCTGTAGGGGGCATTCAAGTGCACTTGGGGTTTACCTAGTGCGCTCGGTCATTTCAGGTTCTTTCTCTAACTTGACCCATGTGGCTGGGCGGCTATTTAACGCGTGACATTTCAATTTTTCCCGATAAAAAATGTAATAAAATATTGGAATCAATTAAATAGAAAATACTAAGGCCCCATCAACCATTTTTAGTTTTCTGATTTTGAAAATTACGGTGGTTTGCTCAAATTTGTTGAGTATATTTTAACTTTTTTTTAAAAAAAATCAAAATTTAACTTTCCGACAAATTTTAAAAACAAAAACAGAACAAAATGGTTATCAAAGTGACCTAAACTATTCAATACAAGAATTAAGAAATATAAACTAAAAATAAGGGTGACTACCTACCTACAATTTAATATCCCATGAGTTTTCTTTGTAACCGAATGTAGTAGGGTAAGACGATTGACTTAAGCTAGCCCGAACAATCACAGATTAAAAACAATCGAATCTTAACTAAAAAAGAAAAAAAATTATAAATTTCAATTCAATGATTTATTGAAATCAGGTAATAAATTATGGAAAATTGCGGTGGGTAGCAAAAATAATTTATGTATTTAAAAACATGTCACCTGATTTTTAAATTTTTAAATATAGAAAATTTTTTCACTTATATTAGTAGTATATCAGACACTCGTATTAGTAGTATATTATATGTAAACCACCATAATTTTTTTTAGTAGTATATCAAACATTCATATCTGTTTTTTTTAAGTGATATATTAAAAAAAACTAAATATGGTTGCTATTTTACTAATTTTACTCGATATTTTTACTATATTTGCACTGTCCCGTAAATTATTGAAATGAAATACATAATAAATTAAGAATAAGTAATTTTTACTTTTTTCTCTTATATCTTCTGCTCTTATATAATAATATATTTTTATTTGTAAAGCATTGAATAGTAAAACAAAAAACTTTACAAAAGATAAAAAAGTTTAAAGTTAATTTTTCTCTTCAGATTCAAATTACCTTCAACCTATATATGGTGCTTTAACTATAAAACCTTGTTCAAATAAAGTATCTATACTAAAATTCTAATTCTTTTTAGTTCAACAGGGAAAATATCTAAAATTTAGTGAGGGAAGAATACGATCTACCACACGTGACGAATGAAAATAGATCATCTCACTTGATCTATCCTATTATGATTCGAATGATATATACACAGTAACAAACTATAAGCCAAACATGCCAAACTCTAGGTTGGAAGGTCAGTGATGATAACATTTATGAGGTCATAATCGAGCTCGCACAACCATCTGTAACTGTGTAACCAATTCCAAAACAGCAATAACAGATCGAGAAACGAGACGACTCACAAGTGCTCCACCTTAAATAGAATTCATTTTCCGTATGCAAGTATGCAATTCTGATTTCTTATCCCAAGAGAAAATAGCTAGATTAGATTCTTACTGATTTGTACATCAAAGTGTTTGTTCTCTTTATGCAAGTCCTTCCTCACATACCTCGTTTTCAATCTCACATGAATTTTTCTCGTGCTCTTAAGATAAGGTCAAAATTCAACATAAACAAACTTTAAAGAACTAGATTAAGTGTCTTAATTTTTAAATTAGGCACATGTTGGCAAAAATAATAAATCTATGTGTGCTTTATTAAAAAGGTTAATCCTAATTAATATGCAATTATGCATCATGTTCTTTCCCCATCTTTGTTATATATATCTTACCACTTGGAGATAAAAACGGTAACTTGGCTTAATTTAAGGGTACTTCGAAACCTGCTCAAAATAGTCGAAAGTTAATTTTAGAAAAGGCCCAAAATTTGTTATAGATAGAAAAGAGCGAGTTGCCTTTAATTTTTTCTAGTACATGTGGGGTGGAAGATTGAACTCACAATCGATTTGAGATATATGTCAATCACTGCTGAGTTATACTCGTTTTGACAATTGTGTTTCACTTGGGCATGTTTTGAAACCAATTAGTTTAGTTTTTATTTATTTATTTTTTGTGTGATATAATTATTTGTATTAATGCTATTAAGAATAAATAAATTTGTTCAATTATCTGTCTCTTAAAATTCTATTTGCATTCACTTGGTTTTATATTTTAAAAAGCTAAAATATAAAAAAAAAAGTCATTATTCAATCGTGTTTAAGATTTCTATATTAGTCCACTAGATCACATTCAAATTGTTTAGTGGTCTTAAATATTGGTGAAATGTAAATATATATACACACATAACTCATTATCGAATATCATTCATCATATTGATATATATATTAAAAAATTTGTTTATTGAAGACCCTTTTTTAAACAATGTCAATTATCTTGATTTTTTTTTCTTAATACACGTGTCATTAGTGTCTTTTTTTAACCATTAATATGGGAGGAAAGGAAACGAAGGCTAACATAAATATTGATTGATTAAATAATTAATGTTTATTAAAAACATGTTTATTTTGAGTTACAGAGTAATAATGTTTTTAAACCTTTTAACATTATTTTATTTTAACTTATCTATGTATGTTTATTTGAGTAATTGAGTACTAATTGATTAATTGATAAGTAATAAAACAGACCTAAATAAATGTTTAATAATTGTTCTAAAAAAATTAAATTATTTTTTAAATTAAAATCCTCCCAATATACTCATCTCAGGTTGGTTCTTCTCCTAGATTTTTTTTTCTTGAATACCTATATCTAAGTTTATTTGTTTTTATTCCTTTGTTTTTTATTTTTGAGTATAATATACGTGGGCTGGAGGTTCGAACTCATGATCTTTTGGTAAGAGATAGGTGTCTTAACTACTTGAGATATGTTCGATTTGACGTTTTTTTCCTTTGTTAATACATTGGTTGATTAGATACATGATAACCTACCCAAATAAACTTTTTAGCATTTATTTTCATTCAATACACATTTAATTTTAAACCAAATAAAATAATTTTTCAGAATAACCTAATGA